TATGGGGGATAGGTTCAATTATGGACCGATCCTCATAAATGGTTGAGAGATTTTGTAACATAGAAATCTTATTTATGTCGAATTTCATTGCTATACTTCCATTTTTAAAAGAGTTATGACTGTTGCTGTTTTCGGGGTCCACTTTTATGGGGACTATGCGAAAACGTGGACCGATATTGCCAATTTTCAATACCAAACAAACCTAACCTATAGGAAATATTTCAAAATTTCAACTAACCAGCTCTTTCCGTTCGGACTCTATCGTGCTTTAAACAGACGAACATGGCTAGATCGCCTTACAATTTAAATATATTAATAGTTTATTGTCAATAAATCGTATTAAGATTAAATTAAAAACAAGTTAGAGTGCTATATTCGGCTGAGCCGAATCTTAAATACCCTCCACCAGCTACTTTTTTATTAATAAGCCCAAGGTTTAAATGCTTAATTGCAAGATTTATTGAACATTACAAACACCATTTTCTTTTATATTTCTATATAGCGCCCTTAAATATGTTTTAGCGATAATTAATAATTTGTATGTGTGTGAAAGGTTTAAGGACCCTGCCAGCAATTTTGTAGTCGACTACGAGAAAAATTCACTTCTAGTTTACTTTTACAGACTGACTATAAGCTAACTACAATGTAATGCAGAGCTGTCCCGAAATTTTGTATTTGGCAACGTAAAGAACCGACTTTTAAATACTAACTACAAGCTAACTATAATGTAATGCAGAAGTGCCTCAAAATTATCTGGAGAGAATTAATTGTATTTCAACATGTTTTCTCTTGTTTCTCTATTATTATGATTTTATTTGTTAACTTTAGTAGACTGACTATAAACGAACAACAATGTAATGCAGAAATGTTCCAAAATTTGGTATTTATTAACGTAAACAACCGACTTTTAAAGACTAGCTACAAGCTAACTATATAATGCGGGAGTACCCCAAAATTATTTGGAGAGCATTTTGTTTCGAATGTTTTCTCATGTTTCTTTATTATTTGGAATTTTGTTTTACATTTTTGTCATTTTCTTGTATACGTTGTGAAATTATAGTCAGTAAATTGGAAAAATTAATTATAAAAGGTTAAATATTTCAAAACTCGGCCCTAAATTATGTGTAATGTTAATAACATTTTAAAATTTATTTTAGATTTGGATCAATGGGAATCATGGAAATAATGAACAAATCAGTCATAATTTTATGGATACCGGTGTTATTATTAGTTCCCCTGCAGAAAACTGATGTCTATTAATTTTAAAGAACTAATATCATAACTTTTATTAAAGCGAAATGTAATTTAGGTAACTAGTAGTTAAATTTTAAATATATTTAATAAAAATGTAATTAATTAATACAGTAGGGAATACAAAAGAAAACTATTACTTGACTTTTCTGCAACTAACTTTAAGTAACTAACTTTAAGCTAGTTGAAAAGTCATGCAGAGTCGGACAATTGACTACTGCGTAGGACATCGCCATGTTAAAATAGTCAGTTGGCCCCATTAAAAATAATCCAAGAATCAACCATAACTACCCTGCCAGCAATTTTGTAGTCGACTACGAGAAAAATTCACTTCTAGTTTACTTTTACATACTGACTATAAGCTAACTACAATGTAATGCAGAGCTGTCCCGAAATTTTGTATTTGGCAACGTAAAGAACCGATTTTTAAATACTAGCTACAAGCTAACTATAATGTAATGTAAAAGTGCCTCAAAATTATCTGGAGAGAATTAATTGTATTTCAACATGTTTTCTCTTGTTTCTCTATTATTATGATTTTATTTGTTAATTTTAACTAACTGACTATAAACGAACAACAATGTAATGCAGAAATGTTCCAAAATTTGGTATTTATTAACGTAAACAACCGACTTTTAAAGACTAGCTACAAGCTAACTATCATATAATGCGGGAGTACCCCAAAATTATCTGGAGAGCATTTTGTTTCGACATGTTTTCTCATGTTTCTTTATTATTTGGAATTTTGTTTTACATTTTTGTCATTTTCTTGTATACGTTGTGAAATTAGAGTCAGTAAATTGGAAAAATTAATTACAAAAGGTTAAATATTTCAAAACTGATGTCTATTAATTTTAACGAACTAATATCATAACTTGTATTAAAGCGAAATGTAATTTAGATAACTAGTAGTTAAATTTTAAATATATTTAATTAACATGTAATTAATTAATACAGTAGGGAATACAAAAGAAAACTATTACTTGACTTTTCTGCAACGAACTTTAAGTTAGTTAATAAAGAGTTACCTTTAAGCTAATTTTTTAGCAACTAACTTTAAGCTAGTTGAAAAGTTATGCAGAGTCGGACAATTGACTACTGCGTAGGACATTGCCATGTTAAAATAGTCAGTTGGCTCCATTAAAAATAATCCAAGAATCAACCATAACTAGTTGATGAAAAAGTCGACTTTTAATGCATTTAAAGTTAGTTGAGTTGCTGGCAGGGTAGTTGATGAAAAAGTCGGCTTTTAATGCATTTAAAGTTAGTTGAGTTGCTGGCAGGGCAAATACAAATATATTGTTGTACAAGAAGTGTTTATACTAAACAATTTTACTAAAGATAACGCAACTAGTTAAATACGGTTAAAGTGATTTTTGAGAAGTGACGTGGTATGGGAGATCTGACCAATTGTAGAGCGATCGTAAACAAATTTTCCAGCTATATTTCTGTACATAAAAGCAAAATATGGACCGATCTAAATATAATATAATTTTAAAATACAAATTTTAAATTACAATAGTAATGTTTCTGTCAAATTTTGTATGGATACCATTATTTGGTAATGAGTTATATGCATTTAAATGTTTTTATGAAGGGGACCTTGTATGGGAGCTATGACCAATGGTGGACCGATTCGAAAAAAATGTACAGTAATATTTCTGTACATAAAAGCAATATTTATGCGATATATTTTGTGGATAGCTTAATTTAGTAATGAGTTATGTGCGTTTAAGTGACTTTCTGGAGGAGACCTTGTATGGGACCTATGACCTAATATGGACTGATCGTGAATGAATTTTAAAATTACATTTCTGAGTACAAAAGTAATGTTTGTGCCAAATTTTGTATGGTTATTATTATTTGATAACGAGTTATGTGCGTTTAAGTGTTTTTCTGAAGGGGACCTTTTATTGGAGCTACGACTAAATATGGACCGATCCGAAAAAAAATCTACAGTAACATTTCTGTATATAAAAGAAATATTTGGACCGATTCGAATTATGGACCGATTCGAATAAAACATCTACAGCAACATTTCTGTATATAAAGGAAATATTTGTGCGAAATCTTGTATGGATATCTTATTTTAGTTTGTTGGATATCTTATTTAGTTTAAGCGTTTAAGTGATTTTCGGGAGGGGACCTTGTATGGGACTTATGACCAAATATGGACCGATCGCGAATAAATTTTAGAATTACATTTTTAAGTACAAAAGTAACAGTTGTGCCAAATTTTGTATGCATATATTTATTTGGTAATGAGTAATGTGCGTTTAAGTGTTTTTCGGGAGAACACCTTGTATGGGAGCTACGACCAATTATGGACCGATCCAGAAAATTTTTCTTCTGTATGACATAAAACTAAAACGTGCAAAATTTTGTAAAGATATAGACATTCTAACGATTGTTATTAACAATAAACTCATTTTCCGGGAATATGAACATTTATATGGGAGGTATATGAAGTTGTGGACCGATTCCGACAATTTTCAACAGGGATCAAACCCTCGTGTAGAAACGAACGTATGATGATTTTCATGGAATTATATTGTATAGTTTTCGTGAAAATTACATCAGAATGTGTAAAAGAGCGTATTTTTTTCGGTGTTGTTTTAAATTTTGATTCATAACTTTTCTCGATGTGAACCGATTTTGCTCATTTTTAATACTAAACTGATTAGGATAACAATGAATATTTCTTGTGAATTTGGTTTACTTCCTTTGCTTAGTTTTAACGTGAGCGTGTTTTGGGCAGACAGACGGACATAGCTAAATCGACTCAGAATTTGATAAGCACCCGGAATATATATAATTTGTTGGGTCTCAGATGACTATTTCTTGGTGTTACACACGGAATGACAAACCTATATATACGCTCTATCACCACTGATGGTGGTGGAGGGTATAACAAGTAAGAAATTATAGTCGGGCGAGGCCGAACATATAATACCCTACACCTGTTACAAAAATAAATGTGATTTAGTTTTTTAATAAAGCATTTAAGTTGAGTTGTACCTTGCCTTGAATTGTAGTCAAATTTGAAGGGGGCTTTGAATAGGGGTATATTCAAATGAGACCCTATAATTATAAAATTCATGAGGGTCATCAAGGCTTGGTTTTGCAGCTTATAAGAACTTGGTTTTGCAGCTTATTGTCGAGATACGAGTATATTAAACATAATTATGAACTTAAAAGCCCATTTCGACGGTTTCAGTTACATGGGGGCTAGGTGAAATAATGGACCGTTGTTGACCATTTTCAATAGGCTTCGTCTCCGGTACCACAGAAAGTCATGTGCCAAATTTCATTGAATTATCTTCAAAATTGCGACCTGTAGTTTGATTACAAGGTTTACAAGCCCTATTCGGGGATCCCCTGGACCATAGAAGATCATGTGCCAAATTTCATGGAATTGTCTTCAAAATTGCGACCTTTAGTTTGATCACAATGTTTACATGGTATACTTTAAGGCGGGTATAGGACCAATATTATTGTGCGTTACAAACATCAGCACAAACCCAATATACCCTCCCGACTAAAGTGGTGTAGGGTATAATGATTTGTTATTAAAAATTATATAGAATTTTAAAATCTAAAGAGTTCAGATCAAAGGCGCCTTTAAAACTCGTCTTCCTAAATACTCAATACTTTTAATTTTAAATTTTTTAATATTACACAATTTGCAATAAAATAACACATTTTAAAGGACATCTAATAAATAAGTAATATTTTTTAGTTTTACGCACCTTTATTAGTTTATATTAGATGATTTAGGTAATTTTAGTTTTTCTCGTTTTTAAGCAACGCTTAGGTGTGATTCTAGTCACCTTAGTCGATGTGATCGATGAAAGTTTTCATATTTTGTGCTAGTTGTATGCCATTCTTTGCAACGGTAGCGTATATTAAAATTTCTTTGAAAATTTGGGTTCAGCTGAATATGTTGCATTTGTTTTGTTTGTTTTAAGTGCATAAAATGTTTGTGTTGTAAGACGTTATAAACTGAAATTAAATTAGAAACTTGTGATATGGATGAATAGTGCCACGTTGCAATTGAAAATATGCAGAATGTCACAATTGCCAAGTGGGCATTCGGCGTTATTCCAATGCCCTTGCTAGTTTGCATAGCGGCGGGTTGTTCTCCTGAAATATTTAAAACAAAATAAATTAACCATACATATAAAGAAAATGGATATAAAGTTGCTTTTTACCAAAAGCCTTCTAAATTATTTTAGATACGTATTAAATAAATTGTGGAAGTTAAAATTTTGCATCCGTGATGAGGGTGCTATCATTTAGAAATCAATTAGTAATATGATATGGCAAATTAATGACCAATCCGAACAAAATTTCGTAGAATGATTTATCGATTAATCGTTATTGAAATGAAATATATTTTACAAAGATTTCTATATACACTAGGGTGATCGAATATCGAATAACCCGGTTTTTCGAATATCGAATAAACCGGTTTTTTACTTTTTAAAAACCGGTTTCGAATATTTTTATTTGTTTTGTATTCAAAGATTACTTTTTTGATTTTCCTAATTAATTAACAATTTTTATACCCTCCACCACCATCAGTGGTGATAGAGGATACATATAAGTTTGTCGTTCAGTGTGTAACACCAAGAAATATTCATCTAAGACCCAACAAAGTATACATATTCTGGGTAAATCACCTAAATGCACATATTTTATTGATGAATAAAGCTATTGTGATAAAATTCGAGTTGGATATGTTTTGTGTACATAAAAATCATTTTACCAAATTTTTTACGGATCGGTCCATTATTGGTCATAGCTCCCATATAAGGCCCACTTCCGAAAATCATTTAAAAGCTCATATTTCGTTGTCAAATAAAGCGATGTTGATAAAATTCGACATAAATATGATTAGTCTAAATATGAATCACTCTACGAAATTTTTTCCGGATAGGCCCATAATTGGTCTTAGCTCCCATTTAAGGTCCACTTCCGAAAATCACTTAAACGCATATATTTCATTGAATTATAAAGCTATTGGGATGAAATTCGACGCAAATATGTTTTGTATACATACAAATCAATCTGCAAAATCGGTCCATTATTGGTCATAGCTCCCATAAAAGATCCACTTCCGAAAATCACTTAAAACACATTGTCAAATGAAGCTATCGTAATAAAATTCGACATAAATATATTTTGTCTAAATATGAATTACTCTACTATAAGGTCCACTTCCGATAATCACTTAAACGCATATATTTCATTGAATTATAAAGCTATTGGAATAAAATTCGATACAAATATGACTTGTGTATATTAAAATCATTCCACCAAATTTTTTCCGGATCTACGGAATTTTTTTCCGGATCGGTCCATAAGTGGTCTTAGCTCCCATATAAGGTATACTGCTGAAAATCACTTAATACCACTTAATTTGTTATTAAATGATTATATCCGGATAAAATTCAAAATGAGTACGTTCTGTGTATAGATAAATCATTATATTAAAATGTTTTCGAACTGGCCTGTTAACATAAATTTTTCTCGACCTAAACAAAATTAATTGGACATATGCATAAATGTTATTACCCTCAATACGGAAACAAAAATTTTGCCAAGTTATCTAAAGATTAGATAGTTAAATGGGTTTTAATAAAAAGTAGCTTGCTGGTGAAGGGTATTTAAGATTCGGCATAGCCGAATATAGCACTCTAACTTGTTATTTGTAACATTTATTGGAATAACTGTCTGATAAAATTTTATCAATCATAAGATTATATTCCAATTGTCTAAAAAGGGATTTTAGAATAAGCTAGAATTACATATGTAGTTCCTTAAGTTTAACAGAAGGGTTCCACGTTTTTCCATTTTTTTTACATTAAAGAAATAATGTAAATCAGACGACTTGATCGAAACTGTTAAAAATCAGTTATGCCATGTTTTATTAAACAAATTTAAACATAAACGTCATTTTTTCAAATTAAAATAGATTTTGTTATTTATAATGAAAAACCAGTTAACCGTTTTTTTCTGGATTTGAAAAATGTCAACCGGTTTTTTTCAAATGCCAACTATTCGAAAACCGGTTTTTGGAAAATGTCGAATAATCGATCACCTTAATATACACACAAAATATACTCATGTAAATTTTTTTTATTTATGCGGAATTTTATTCCGATATCTTTATTTTCTGAATTGGATCTTATATGACAGTTATTACCAATTATGGATATGAAACACCCTGCTAAATTTTATATGTATACTAGCTATACCTACGCTGACCAGACGTTCTGTATTATACAGAACAGTACTGTATTTTAGAGCCCTGTTCTGTATAAATTATTCTTTGCTAAAAAACGAGAAAATGTTCTGTATTTTATATAGTCTTCTGTATTTGTTCAGTATTTCGTTATTTTTTCAGTTTTACCTAAAAACGCATAGAAAAATACATAAGAAATACTTAAATATTAAAAAATTCTAACACAAATGTAGGTAATACAGTTTTTCCAACTATAAACATTTGAAAACACTGTTAAGAAGTGACGGTATCAACTGATATCTTCTGTATATATAAAATTCAAACGTTACTGGCTCGGGATTTTTGGAAATTCGAATGTTTAGGGGGTAAAAAGGGCAAATTCGATAACCTCATATCTCTTAAACTAGAAATGATACAAAAACTGCGGACAGGTGTCTAGTGCTTTTTTCAAATTTGGCCCCTTTAGGGAATAAACGGGTAAAAACTGTATTTTGGTACTTTTTTTACACCCCATGTATCTTTTAAACCAGTGAACACACAAAATGACTCCTGTTTTTGACTCCTTCATAACTTAACAAAAAAACAAGTTAGAGTGCTATATTCGGCTATGCCGAATCTTAAATACCCTCCACCTGCAAGTTACTTTTTATTAAAACCCATTTAATTATATAATTTTTAGATAACTTGACAAAATGTTTGTTTCCGTATTGAGGATACTAACATTCATGCATATGTCGAACTAATTTTGATTAGGTCCATTTTAAAAGAATGATTTATCTATACACAGAACATAATCATGTCGAATTTTATCCGGATATAATCATTTAATAACGAATTAAGTGATGTTAAGTGATTTTCAGAAGTTAACCTTTTATGGGAGTTAAGACAACTTATGGACCGATCTGGAAAAATTTCCGTAGAATGATTTATATATACAAAGTACACATTTATGTCGAATTTTATCACGATAACTTTGATTATCAATGTGCATTTAAGTAATTTTCGGAAATGGTCCTTATATGGGAGTTGTGACCAATTAAGGACCGATAAGGAAAAAATTTCGTATAATGATTTATATAAAAAAAATCAAGTCGAATATTACTCCAATAGATTAATGAAATATGTGCGTTTTGGTGATTTTCGGAAGTGGACTTTATATAGGAGGTATAACCAATTACGGCCTATCCGGTAATATATATGTACACGAAACATACTTGTGTCGAATTTTATCAAAATGTCTTTATTTTATAATGAAATATATGCGTTTGAATGATTTTTTTGAAGTGGACCTTATGTAGGCGCTTTTTAAAAATATGGACCGATCCGGAAAGAATTTGGTAGGAATATTTATATGCTCACAAAACATATTCAAGTCGTACTTTATCCCGATAGCTTTATTATTCAAAGAAAAATATGAGTCTAAGTGATTTTGGTAAGTGGACCTTATACGGGAGCCTATCCGGAAAAAATTTCGTAGAGTGATTCATATAAGGACAAAACATATTTGTGTCGAATTTTATCAAGATAACTTTATTTGACAACGAAATATGTACGTTTAAGTGATTTTTGGAAGTGGGCCTTATATGGGAGCTATGACCAATAATGGACCGATCCGTAAAAAATTTCGTAGATTGATTTGTATGTACACAAAACATATTTATCTCGAATTTTTTCACAATAGCTTTATTTGTCAATGAAATATGTGCGTTTATGTGATTTTCGGCAGTGGACCTTATATGAGAGCTATGACCAATTGTGGTCCTATACGAAAAAAATTTCATAGAGTGATTCATATAGTATGATTTCTGTTCATATTATATTTGTATGTACAAAATTTTGTGTTGATACCGATATATTTGAGGGAGTTATTAATGATAAACTAATTTCTGGGAATATATACCTTTGTATGGGGGCTATGTGAAATTTTGGATCAATTATTTTGATTTTCAACACAATTAATCCCTGGGTAAGAAAAATAATGTGTGACAAAATTTTGTAGTTTCTGAGAAAACGACTTAAGAATTACGAAAAAACCCGTAATTTTTTCGAGGTAGTCTGAAATTTTTACACATAACTTTTAACATTGTGAACCGATCCTGATGATTTTCAATATCAAATTGCTTAGGATAACAATGAATATTTTTGGTGAACTTTGATGGTTCATTTCTTTTGCTTAGTTTTAACGTAAGCGTGTTTTAGGCAGACAGACAGACAGACGGACATAGCTAAATTGACTCAAAATTTGATAAGGACCCGGAATATATATACTTTGTTGGGTCTCAGATGAATATTTCTTGGTGTTACACACGGAATGACAAACTTATATATACCCTCTATCACCACTGATGGTGGTGGAGGGTATAATAAAAATTCTAATTTAGTACTTTTTGGATATTCGGTCGTTTAAGGGCTGAAAATTGTACCTATTTTTGGTACTTTTTATACCCACCATAAAAAATGTGGGGTGGTATATTGATTTCGTCATTCCGTTTCTAACACATCGAAATATTGGTCATACACCCGTAAAAGTACATATATTCTGGGTCCTTATTAAATTCTAAGACGATCTAGGGATGTCCGTCCGGATGTCTGTTGAAAGCACGATAGAGTCCGAACGGAATGACCTAGAGGGTTGAAATTTTCCACAAATATTTTCTATAGATAAGGTTTGTTTGGTATTGAAAATGGGCTATATCGGTCCATGTTTTCGGATAGCCCCCATACAAGTGGACCCCCGAAAACAGCTTTAATGGGCATATCTGTTTCAAAAGTACGAATATAGGGATGAAATTCGACATAAATAAGTTTCATATGATCCAAAATCTCCCTAGCAAATTTTATGAGGATCGGTCCATAATTAACCCTACCCCCAGTGTTGCCAAAACCTAATTGCTAG